TGCACGGTGTGATACCCACTTGAACACTGTTTTTATAGCAACCTGTGCTGCATCGGCTTGCTACTCATACAGGAACGGCGGTGTAAGTTGCAGTTTCATTATGTGAACCGCGGCTCTGTTTGGTTCAGCAAGGCGTTACTGTATTGTGCGTTCCAAATGGAGGCTGCGAAGCAGCTCGCCAATTGCTCGTCTAGGTGAGCCACCGAGCAAGGACGCATGTCAGAGACGTCATTTCTCAGTACATCTTGTCCAAGGTGATGGCCGCATCGTCGCCGAAGGTTCCGCCGAGAGTTGTTTGCATGTTGCATCAGTTTGTTCTAGTTACAGCCAAGCGGCATCCCGCTGTATCCATGTGAGTGGGACTGTGCGTGGAACTTTAAGTTACGTTTTGCAGTCTTGCGCATGCATGACTGTACGTAACCGTGGGATGTATTGGGGCGCCCATGTCTGGAAGCATGACCTCACGAACGTGAGACAGAGCAAGCTCAAGAGCACTACTGAGCGGCCAGGTCACAGCCGGAGCATCTCAGACTCTGTCGCCGAAAATGGCAGGAGACGGTTCCCTGAGTACGGCGTGAAGCTTACGCAGCCTTTGTGAATATACATGTTGCATCGAAGCGACTGCTGATATTTTTGCCGCACATTCGGTTCGAGAAGGCCTCGTGCCTGCATTCCTTTGATTGGCTACCCGTGTGCCTTCCTCCTAGGAAGCGTGCCAGCCATCATGCATGTGCCGGCAGCAGCTGCTGCTGCCGGTACGGCCTATACAGGCAAATGGCTCTTCGACTACAACCGTGCCAACTTTCAGTATGACGTCCCCCAGCGCTTCGGGCGGTTCATGACATCCCGTGGGATGCTGAACACGCAAGTTGGCCAGTATCGACAGGACGTTCACGGAATTGCGGAGCTGACATCTTCCAAAATGGACACAGTTCAAGGCATGATGACCTTGGTGCTTTGTGTTTGTGCTGCGCTCTCGGATGCTGGACGCATTGGAATGCACGGCTGTGCTCCTCCACAGTGGCTTTGTGGACTTTATTCAGGCCTGGATCACATGAGCACACAACGACGAAACGCAGGAAATCCATGCCGGGCTTGTCAACCACTCATGTATGCTTAGTTTGACTTGATCGTCAGGCCATATCTACACATCGATCTTGTATTGCGGAACGGCACTTTGGCTTGGCATGCACGGATCACTGCGTGCCCAGCATCTTGTGTGCACTTCATGGCTGGAAGGATCAGTTTCATTTCGGAGCTGCCGCAAGGGCACTCTTGCAGCTTGAGTGCCGAGGTGTGCGATGACGTCCCTTCTGACGCGAAAAGTCAGGCTTCCAATTCCATCAATGGCACAGCTTGATGCGGCCCGTTCCTTTGGTTCTGCTTTCGAGCAGCAGAAGTTCGGTGACATATTCCGAGTCGGGACCTTGGCTTCATGATGTTGACAGAACGTCGACTGTGGACTTCAAAAGGCCAGTGGCTATGATGCCAGGTTCCATTCATGCGCCATCCAGAAGATGCTCCAGAGCTTCTTCCTGCAGACCCTGGTGACTCAGGGGAGGTCGAAGCATTGAGTTATAGGTTCCATGACTAGCGCTCCTGGCCAGCAGGACGATGATGGCAAGAATGACAAGAAGGAGAAGGGAAGCAAGGATGGCAAGAAGCCTGGAAAGAAGAAGGCATCGAAGGTGCAGAGCTAAGTCGGTTTATGCATCCTCGACAGCTTTCCTGTGCAAGTCTCTGTGCTAGGTACATCTGCCGGACCCGAGAACAGAGTTTAGCAGCACTGCCCGTGACACCGTCCCATCCTGGATTCGAGACGAGCAGGCCAGTTGATGAAAGACTTGCAAGGGCTTTCGGAGCAGACACTTCATGCATTGAGCTGATGCTGACCATAGTGTTGTACTTGCATCGAGGTCGTCGACAAAGGTGAAGGGCTTTTGGGGTCGCACCGCCAGTTTGTGATACATGACCCTAAAGCATCTGAATAAGACAAGACGCGCGACAGGTTGCCTTCTCGCGATGACTTCGAACCCCACGAGACTCCTGATCACTTCAAGATGCTCTTGGCGGTACGCGGCTCGTGCTTCGTATTCGCCACGCTCGGCATTCTCTTTGAGTTTTGCGATTTGTGACTTGCTGAGGCTCAAGAAGAATGGTGGCAGTACGACGTCTACGCCCGCATCCTTATGCTCTACGGATCCTGCCAATTCCTTTATGCTGCCGCTCGGATCCTTAGGTAAGCCGTTCGTTCACGTCTTTCAGGGCCTTCTGCAGAACAATCCGGGAAGTGCGAAGAGATGGGAAGAGGTAAGGAAAGTCGTGCGCCTTTTTTTTGAGGTTTGCTACTATTGTATTGGCACTACCACGGCGGAGCTGCGTGGCTTTTGGATCTCCTGGTCCATGCCCATGTTGTTCATGGCCGCCCAAGTATTGATCCTTCGCCTCGATGTTGTTCGCACCTCTGGGAATCATATGCTTCCAAACGCCGAGTGGATCGGCCACCTTGCGCCCTACTTTGCAGTGACGGCCACGACCCTCGAGTACCGGCATCTGTACTCTCCTACAACGGTCATTCTCACATGGGTCTTTGTCTTCCTGACGTACTTTGCCCATATTGTCATGGTGCTGGGCTCAGTTGAGGATTTCAGGCAATGCTTTCACAGCCCACGAAAGCCAACACCTCGAATATGGCCATCTGAGGCGATGCGCTTTTTGGATTTGGCATGGCCAGATTGGAATCGCGCCACGGACATGCCTGATGAGCCGGGCAAGCCCTGGTGGCCATCCTCGTGGAAGGCAGGCCAAAAAACCGCACACTTGCATGCTGCGAGACTTTGGCCTTTTCTTGTGCGCTCTTTCTCAGGTGCCTTCCGCGTTTCGCAATGCCTTGTGGCTCCTCGCTCCGCCCAAGAAGCTGGAGCCCGGCCAGCACGACCTGCTCCACGAAGCCGAGGCCCGGCGGACCTTTCGCACTGTGCTCTCTGCACATCACTGCACCTCGACTCCACACCGCTCCGCTTAGCGCAGGGCTTGCAAAGTACGGGTGGTGGAGCAGAGATCCGGCGCCGTGGAAAGGCCGGCAGGCAGCATGCCTTCGTCACAGATGCCGTCTTCTGTGAGGACAAGAAGGGTAAGTCTGGTGGCAAGGTCAAGGAGGCAAGGACGTGGTACCCGTGTCGGGCTTGTCCGCTCGTTCAGCTTCAGGTCGGAGAAGGACTGGTGTCTGATGAAGCCGGTGAGTCTTCGCCTACTACATATCGTGGTGAGGCGGCACATCCGCACATCCCGTGTTGCTGCGTTTCTCTGTGTTGCTACTTCGCATTTGACAAGGTTCCTCTGAGAAAACGGGGTTGGACCCACAAAACAGGGATCAATTGAATCCGGCTGCACTTTGTTTTTTGCTGGCTGGGGATATTTGCTCTGCAGTTCTGCGAATGCTGGTAAAGCTTTATCATCCATGCTCCCCTTCGCAATTCGAGATATCAGCACAACTTCGTACGCCCTGGTCGCGAAGTCGGACGGCGCTTTTAGTCGCCGCGATCTGAGTCAAATCATGTTCTGGGCGAATCTTTGCATGCGACCTCAGCCCAACGGAGCCACCAGGCGGATTGGGCTCGTCTGGCTTGGATACTTCTCCGGTTAGGTTTGATGGTGGCTGTCTGTTTCGTGAGCAGCAGACTCGTGTGCCACTTGATTTAGACTAGGCAGGCAGTCGAAGACCACAAGATTGAGAGTTTTCGTTCGTTGACAGAAATTTCGCTGCATTCGATTTGGAATGCTCGGCGATATGTTGAATGCGCAGCTGGCATGCAGCTTTTTCTGCTCAACTTCGTTTGTCTTGGGGGTCTGAGGCTGTGCAGACGCACACAGTTACCGGACCCGTAGCCACCTGCACTGGTCGAGGGTACTCGTAGCATAGTGACTGTTGCAGGCAGAAGGAGCTTACACTGGAAGATCACCCTTCAAAGCTTTTGCCGAAGCTCGATCACCGGACCGATGGCGTTTTGCAGAGGTTGCAGTAGTCAGTGACGACGCCTCGGCGTTGCAGGACCTTCCTTGGCAGCTGGCCCGTGTTGCAATCTGCACAGTCGGCGGGCTGTGGCGTGGATCTCGGTACCTTACAGCAACACACAAATTGCGAAAGTACAACATTATGTAATCAAGCAGCCAGGCTCCGTGTCTGCAGTCGGACCGAGGTTGTACATGGGCATTGCCCTGTTTGTGGCAGAGCACTCAGTCCTTCTTGCAGGGACATCTTGCATGATGAGCCTGGTCGTTTGTGATCCTGGTCGCATGACCAGGAAATGAATGTTGGACCAGATACGCTCATGAAGCCTCCGGGAGAACCTCCATGGATTCGTGATCAGAAGCCCTTCACCTAGACAAAGCTGCCCATAAAAGTGGCTTTGAAATCGATGAACATGAGCATGCAGAGCTACCAAGGATGAAGAGCGTTTGGGTTCCCAAAGGATGGCACCTGAGCAGTGAACCGCTGCCCAGTTACTCGCAAAGAATCTTCTCCATGGTGGAGGGTTCTGGTGTCCCTAAGTACAGTGTCAGAAGCGGCTTCGATCAATATAAGGTGACTACAGACTGGAGTCTTCGACTTTGGCCAAATATGAAGAAGGGTCTGTTGGTGGCCCGTGCCCAAGGTGACTGGCGACAACAAAGAACGAGACCCTGCATCCGTTGTTTCTGAGGTTTCAATCCAGACGATATTCATTCGCCCGGTGTCGGGGAGAGCGGTGTGCAGGAGTCCCATGGCTCCGAACATGGAGGCATGCGGCACGATGCCAGTGCTTTGCAGCCTCAGCGGCTTGGTGACAGGGGAGCACGGTGGACACGAGAGCCACTCTGCACACCGTCGGCTGGCAGGCCTGCGTCCTAGGAAAGCGTCCCTTCCAGATTCCAGTCTCTCCGTGCCATGCAGCCCTGGTGAGGCGCAGATGGGCAGCTGCTGCGTGATCTGTTGAAGGCGACGGATGGCTTGGCCTGGCTCCACGACTCGCTGAAGGAGATCGAGGCTGCCTCGAAGCGGGTTTGGCCGCACAAGCAAGGAAGTAGGAAGTCTTGCACATCTCTGCCCAGGCAAACCAAGCGGCTCCGCTGTATGAGCTGCCGCCATCTCCAGCTGTCCCGTTCATGGCACCGACTGTCCTGAATGCCAAGAAGGCAGGGGAACGGCTCGAGCCGAGCTTTTGTCGTGGACAGCCTTGTTGCCGTCAGGTGAAGTGGCCGTCCCTGTTTGAACCACATCATCTGCTGTGCAGGCAAACTAGTTTGAGCTGGGAATGCCGGAGTCGTTGCCAGCCCCATTTTGGAGGGGGTCGCAGCTCATGGCGTTGACATCGCGCGGGTTTGGTGCCCACCTTGCGAATCTTGATGACGACGAGGCTGGGATCAAGGAAAGCAGGCCATACATGTTTCTGCCTGTTGTGCCCAGGTTGATGCGGCACCCTTTGCTCTAGAAGGTCTTGGAGCTGTCCGCTCCCTTGTTGGCGGAGCTTGGCTGGATGAGGGCCTGCAGCTCATCACGAAGGCCGGTACCGAAGTCGGAGGTGTGCTGGTTGTAGATTCAGTCTGCAAGGTTGGAGAGCTCTTCGATTGCCCTGGTGTGGCTCCAATGAAAGGCCATGTGATCTTGCGCGTCTCGGTATTTTCATGAACAGCGGGTTGTGAGGTCGCTGGTCCTGCAAGAACTCGACGATGAAGTTACCGCTTCCCCATGGATCGCAGCTCGTCGCGGCTGCAATCTCAAAGACGGAGGTCTTTGCGATGTAACCCTGCATGACTGCATGCCCGTGCTCGAATGATGCTGCATTGCTTACAGGAGTCCGGCCATCTTGCTGCGCTCTTGTTCGACCATGCTCCTGCGACCGTGAACCTTTTCCACGGGGCATCGGGCAGCTGGACATCGGCCGGCGAGGTTCGATCGAGTGTTTTGGTGAACAGTGTTTCGGGGATGCAATTGGAGCAAGGTGCACCTGCCTTCCGATGCCGGACATGTCGGCCTCTCTATTTCTGGTAAGGACACGGATGCAGCGAGCGAAACATCGTCCGTTGTTTTTGAGAGCTCGCCTTGGAGAAGGACCTTCTCGCTCTGCTGGGCACAAACGGCGCTGTGCTCCGACGTCACATCGTCAAAGGACCAGCAAGTAACACCAAGCATTCGGGAGCACGGGAGCAGCATACAGATGGAAGGAGTAGATCAGAGCGCTGACTAAGACAGAGGGAGACAGAGAGAGAGAGAGAGAGAGAGAGATGCATTTTCCACCTCTGGCACCCGCAACAGTCGGGGGCGCACCTGCGCGCGGTGTAGGGGCTTGCTCCCCTGCACCACAGCCCTGGCGAAAGAAAGAGAGAGAGAGAGAGAGAGAGAGAGAGAAAGAGAGAGCCATTTTGGCTCAAGCCGCGAGCGGTTCAAGCCCGTGGGGGGACCTCTGTGAGCCTCTTTCCTTTCCTTTCTTCTGCCCCCCCACGGGACAACCGACGCCTTGCCTCTTCACTCCGTCTTTGTCCCTTTCTTCCGCCGCATTGCAGAAGGGGGAGTACGTGATCTTTGTGCTCTTCACCTTGCAGGCTCCGTCCAGCGAGTTCGGTGTCTTCGGAGCAGTTGGACACCCACCACCCGGCAAGGAATGCCGACGATGACAGCCCAGTGCCCGATGTCTGGGCCTTGCTGCAACCACTACCTCACGGATGGGCAGAGGGGCATGCAGAAACCGGGGGCTACACCCGGACAGCGACGTGTTTGCGGACAGCGACAAAGTGAAGGAGGAAGACGACAACAATGTTGATGCCACAATGGGGGATGACCTCACCCGAAAGAACGAGAGAAAGCGAGAGAGAGAGACAGAGAGTACCAGACCGAGCATCCATATCTTTTGCTGAACCCCCACAAGGCCCCCAAACAGGGGTGCGCCCTTCGGCGCGGGGTGCCTGACAAGCACTCTATGCCCTGGAGAACAGAACAGAACAGAGAGAAAGAGAGAAAGTTGAGAAAGAGAGAAAGAGAGAAAGAGAGAAAGAGAGAAAGAGAGAAAGAGAGAAAAGAAGAAAGAGAGGGAGACGGACTCGTTTGCTCCCGGACTGTCTCCAGTCCTTTGTAGGCAACCTCGGCCGCCGTCGTTGACTCCCGCTTCAGCACCTTGCCGCAGTCCCTGCATTTGCTGATCTTTTGCCACCCGTTGGAGTCTTGGTAGGTGATGTTCCGGTGGGGGCACTCCATTGAGCGTGGTAGTCGACATTCTGCTTCGGGTCGATCCCTCTGACTCTGTCGGCGAGGGCGTGTTGTCCGGACTCAAAAGGGCACACACGCGCGCGGGCGGGGGAGCATTCCCCGGCTCATAGCCCTGGCGAAAGAAAGACGGACCCAAGGCGAGCTCAGCAAGGCGGGACTGCATTGTAAGTGACAGGGTCATGGTGAAGCAAACCGGCACGGCCTGTCGCTGCCGGCACTGTTTGCGTGCTGTGCGCCGACGCTGGTCCTGGAAAACTATGAAATCACGAACGCAGTGACGGGATTCCGGGGAATCCCTGCAAAGCGCGTCAGAAACGCTTTGGCTGGCTCGCGAATTGAAGTCCCAACATCGGAGGAAACCGGAAGGGGATGTGTGTCCCAGCTAAGAATTTCGGCGAGGGAGATCAATGAATACAAGCGGCTTTTCTGCGAGCAATTCTTCTGGCTTTCTTCCTCGCGCACATTGCGCTATGCCACGGGATTTTCTGCGGTGTTGTAGCTGGTTGTGCACCTCCAAGGATGCCTACACCAACCTCGGCATGTGTTGGCGCTTTTCCGGCTAAGTTTGTGCGACAAGGTGAAAAGTGGTTGAAGGAGAAGCCGAATGCAGATATCACCAAAACAGATGCACATGCAGGTGGAAAAAATCGCCGACACCCTATGCATTTTAGGTACGACAATGAATGCAAATATATCCCTCAAGCAAGCCCTGCTTTCCTCACCCATCACCGACCGAAACGCCGGCTATGGATATTACCCCGACAGATGCAGGTAAAAATCTCAGTGTGGCACAGACCACGGGTACCTAAACTAATCAATTCTGTTGCTCGAATCCGGGAAGGGTGGCGGAGAGCCCAGGGCTGCCGAGCGAGACGGAGGTATCGCGGAAAGGTGGGACAACTGTGCGCTGAACGATGCAGGGCTTCGTGAGTGTGAGCTTCGAAACGCGGCAAAACGGATTCGGGTGAGGGACACATCTTAAAGTGTAATGCGTATTGGCTGAATAAAGCCATCTGGCACGACAACTTCCAAATCTCTCCATTGTGCCTGGGTAGTTCTCTGAATACGCAGGAAGTACGACATGGCACCCTCCTCCACCGGCAACACAGACGCCACGAGAATACCGAGGAGCATGCAACAAGGACGGTCCCAGCAGCTTCGTGATCGGTATGCAATTGCCGAATGCCCCAAATGTGCACCTGCTGAGGACTCGGAAGTTGGTGGCTTGATCCGTCTTGCCATTCGACAAGCCGCACCAAAGACGGAGGCCTGAGGCAGTGCATGTAGAAATTCACCAAGCAAAGCTGATGGTTTGTGGCGAGGCTTGGCTTCCAGAGCTATCACTGGACTGATGACGAAGTGCCATCTGAGCAATTCATCCTGCTTGCCTTGACGAATCTCGCTTAGTCTTGCTTTGTCCATAAGGCTTTAACCTGCTGGCGATTCTCGTGGTCCTCAGTCACAGTAGTTGTACCATACCAGGTTTAGTCACGAAGCGTTCTCAACTCTTGCGGTGTCTCAAAGGCTGCATTTATGTTGGGCCTCCTGCCCTGGAGCAGGGTTCAATAGTTGATGCCATGTATTCGTGTTGGGCATGGTAGTTATCCGTCCAAGACTCGCCCAGTCTACTTTTCACATACGTAGTACCCAGAAAGTTGTTGCTTCTGTCGTGTGTCGCCTTGCGCTCTCCTTTTTTGGGGGTGTGCTGTTACCCGCTACGGGTGCACCGCCTTTACGTCTCTATTGCAGGGTCACAGCTATATCACCTATGCATACCTTGCATAGTTGGAGACAGGCACAATTCTCACTGATCCATGGTTTACTTGCGGACGCAAAAGCTTCGGGTTCATTTGCACCTGAGAGTGCTCAGTGCTTATTCATGTACCGCCTTTCACATTCAAAGACGCCTCATGAATTCTTTTGAGGTCCCATTACCGGCAGGCAGTCGGCAACAGGCTTGGGTCGAAAGTATGCTCTGCCCTGTTTAGAATCTGAGGCAGCGCCCCAAGTGTGTCTTTTGACATTAGGTGGAATACGAAGAGCAAGATCTGGAGCCAGAGTGCTGCGCCCAGTCATCTTGCCAATGAGCCAAGCTGTGGTTGATGCTGCTAATTCCTACTGTACATCGCCTGGTTGGCTGAGCGGGTCACGGTGTCTGGGAGTGCCAGCGGCTCTTCAACATTACCAGGATGCAGAGATCAACGTGAGAACCCTAAATTTCAGCAGGTGGGTTTCGCCAGGTCCTGGTGGCCGCGGTAGATGTGGAGCCTCCTTCGGCACTTTTCGATGCCACAGGCGGCACGGGATACGTTCCCCCGCCCGATCGTGGATTGGCACAATTGGGGATCCAACGCTTCTCTATCGGGCAGGGGGGCATGGTCCCATGCTGGGACAAGATGTCACCTTGTGGCGCGAAAGAGCAGTGTCTGGAAGATCGTGCGTGTTGGGGTCGCATGATCTCCGATGCGGGATCCAGACCACTTAAACTGACCATCGCTTCAGAAAGGATTGGTTTCTCTCTTCACTCGGCAAAAGTGCTGAAAGTATGTTGAAATGCTGTGTGTTCGGCCTTTGGCCTAGTGCATGACTGCGAAGTCTTCTGGCATAGCGGCCTTGCGCTCTCTCAGTTGAAAAATCACAAGGACAAGTCACGTAAAACGACTGAAACTATTCGGGAGGTGAACGTTTGAGCGAGATGGTGTTGAATTTCAGTTAACAATCCACACATTACAAAATGCCATGAAATGTAGAGGTATTCTCAGTTTTAAACATAATTAGCTATGATATAAATTTTAGTCCGAAGAACAAGCCTAAACTGAAAACGTATTCTGAATTCTTCCTGTGCAGAAACCCTGAGGTATGTGGAGCGGATTGTTGAAGTACCTCGGGTTCGAGTAGACCATGTTGAAAGGATCGTCGAGGCCAAACCCAATGCAGATTGCTGGGTTGGGGCTTGCTTCGGACAGCAAACCATGTGCAGGTACCCGAAATCCAGATGGTGGACAGAATTGTGGAAGTTCCTCAAATTCAAGATGCCGCGGCCTGAAGTCTGCCCTCCACGGAGCATATACGGAGCCAAACCAATTTGGAGTCTCTTCATTGCGAATTCACAGTAAGAAGGTTATGGAAGCAGATGGGAGATATGGAGGCCGCATTATTCAGTGTCGCAGAATTGTCATCATTTCGTGATTTTTGCGAGGACAGGGGCGCGGAGGATATGGCTTCGGCGGAGCTGGCATGGGCGGAGGCCCAGGCTATGGGCCTGGAGCAGGATGTGGGCTTGGATACGGTCCCGGTGGTGGTTGTGGGCCAGGAGGATGCGGACCTGGCTACGGACCCGGTGGAGGCTGTGGGCCTGACGGCTGGGGATCTGGTGGCTGTGGGCCTGGCGCTTACGGACCCTGTGGCGGTTGCGGACCTGGCGGTTGCGGGCCGGGTGGTTACGGACCGGGTGGCTGTGGCGGTTGCGGACCTGGCGGTTGCGGACCTGGCGGTTGCGGACCTGGTGGTTGTGGGCCCGGCGGTTGTGGTGGACCAGGTAGCGGACCTGATGGTTACGGTGGGCCTGGTGGTTACGGTGGGCCTGGTGGTTACGGTGGGCCTGGTGGTGGACCTGGTGGCTACGGTGGGCCTGGTGGTTACGGTGGGCCTGGTGGTTGCGGTGGGCCTGGTGGTTGTGGACCTGGTGGTTGCAGTGGGCCTGGTGGTTGTGGACCTGGTGGTTGCGGGCCAAGTGGGTACGGGCCGGAGGGAGGCGTTAACTTCGCTTTTACAGGCGGTGCTGTTGATGTTGGCTCATCCACTGGAAGATATCCATACTACGGTGATGAAGGCTCGCTTTGTGTTCCGGGTCTGGGTCCATGTCTCAGACAGCAGTGCAGCAGTTTTTGCAGGTGCCTTACGCTTTGGTGGTGGAAGCTTCGGTGGAGGAAGCTTTGGCGGAGGTCCCTGTGGGCCGTCTGGTGGACCTGGCGGGTTCGGAGGCGACGGAATGGGCGGCATGGGCGGCGGCATGGGCGGCGGCATGGGCGGCGGCATGGGCGGCGGCATGGGCGGCATGGGCGGCTATGGCCCGGGCAGAGCAGGGCCTCGAGGCAGCCAACCTTCCGGTTCAGTGCTGCGAAAGCTTCTGATTTCTTTTCAGGCTTTGGGCCCGGGGCGGCCGGAAGAGGCAATTTGCCAGTGAAAGTGATTACTCGGGAGGCCACAAGCGTGGCAGACAGGGATGCAGTCGGGTTTCTTTGGCAGAGGCATGTTTGGCAGGTCCCAAAAGTAGAAGTCAAGCAGGTGGAAAGGGTCGTGGAGGCGGGCTTTCCGTTGATCCCGGGCTTTGCACCGGCCTGCATCTTTATCGTGTCAAGGTTCCCAACATAGAGTACGAGGACCGTCTGGTGGAAGTTCGTGAGGCTCAGATCCTTTGCCAATGCCGCTGTCATCAACGAAGTTGGCTCTCAAGTGTTTCAGGACTGGGTCATTTTTTGCATTCTCGGTTTAGCCTCCAAATCTCCTTTCCCTGTCACAAGCTCCGGGTGTGAAGATCGGCAGGGTCAGGACAGCCATGGCCAAGACAATCGGAACGTGGGGTCCTGTGACTACTTTCGGACACGAAGTGCGAACTCGGGTCCACCGTCCGACCTCCTGCTGCACTGGCTCTTTCGGGTCGCAGGTGCTCAATCGGGATCGCCGCTTCATGTGTTCGGGCTTTCATGGTTTACTACGATAGCCCGTTCCCTCATGTCGACTCTCAGAGGCTCGATCCACATCACACCTGGGCCTTTCTCTGTCTCGGTCTCATTGCGGCTTTGCAAAACTTTGTGGATGGCCATAAGACCATAGGTAGACCAACAAGTGTTGCTGCGATCTGCTGCAGACTCCGGGCGGGGGTCTCTCTGTCAGCTAGTTTCCATGCACACGGTATCCGTCATTTTCCTATTCTAATCTCCCTACAGCTATGTCAGTATGCTGAGAATGCTTTGAGGCTGAGCTATTGTTCTTTACGTTTGGGGGATTAGCAGCCTTTGCCACACGGAGCCGGAACCTCCACGTCCAGGCCCCACCTCAGGAGAAGACACTTGAGGCTTCAGGCCATCGCCCGAGTGCATTTCTTCTACCCGAGCAATGTCCGCTACTTTGGACTTTTACAGGAATCTGTTGCCACGCAAATCTATAGCTATCTTGGTGCCGCTATGTGCCGCTCTTTTCCGGATTAAGGCCACGGATAGGCAGCCTCCTCTCTCTGTTCCACCAAAAGTATCGTGCAAGGAAGGACACAAACAAGATCTGGCTTTCTGGCACATGGCTCCTTGTGTGAGCATGTGTAGAGCATGCAGCAGCAGGGCGGTAGTACGACAATTATGTAACCGCGCTGGAGAGAAAGAGGAAGAGAGAGAGAGGGAGAGTCGGGAGAACGACGGAAATTCTTGACAGGTCCGTGAGGTGGTTCGACGGGTCCCACGCATAGAAGTTCGAGAAATCCCGATTGAGAGGGTAATTCAGGCGGGGCAGGCTGCTTCATATTGTCGCAAATAAAAGCATCGACCATTGCTGCAGGTACCCAAGAAAATTGTTCAGGAGGTGGAGACGCCTGTGTATCGTCCAGTGCCACATCTGGCACAGGGCTTGGGCCATTTAGGGATATTCAGGGCATCCTTGTTGTACCTTGGTATGTTTAGCCCCCGCACTTCTGCCCCGATGCGAGGTCAAGCAACAGGTGGAAAGGGAAATTCCCATACCCAAGCCGTATACGCAGACACTGGAGGTCGTGAAGCAGGTGGGTTGTGAGCTTGAGTTTTGCGCTCTCTAGCCTATCGAAACGCTACCCGGAAGGTATCAGTGCCAACCAACGAATCTGGTGCTGTTCTGGCAGAGTCTTCGGTGGCACCGCAGACAGCACAGGTTGCATCAGTGCCACCCGCAGTGGTGCACGCACCCAGCGTGAGCAGAACATATGCGCTACCTGCCGTCCCCAGCACAGGATCTGCTACCCAGCTTAAACACAAGAGAAGCTTGTGAAGAGACACCCCGGGAGCCTGCTGGAGGAGTTTTGAGCAAACCGAGGCTTGCATGAGTACTCCTACGGACAAGACACCCATCGCTACGACGGTGGCACCTTCTATGCCTTATGCTGGGCAGACTATGCAGACCTTGCCAGCCCAGGCTTGGCATCTGACACGTAAAGTAGGTTGAAACAGGTTCTAAGCTGACAGCGACATTTCACTGCCGTCACTGCCTCTTTCACTCCACCGGTACGATCACTGTAGGGTTGAAGGATGCTGAAGGGTTGTTTTGCAGGCATCCTTCAGATCGCAAGGTGCCTCCAAGTGCTGTTGGCGCTGCAACACCTCCCGCAATG